ACAGTACAGCAGCTGCCTCTGGTGCCACACCCACCCTCACACCCACAGTACAGCAGCTGCCTCTGGTGCCACACCCACCCCTCACACCCACAGTACAGCAGCTGCCTCTGGTGCCACACCCACCCTCACACCCACAGTACAGCAGCTGCCTCTGGTGCCACACCCACCCCTCACACCCACAGTACAGCAGCTGCCTCTGGTGCCACACCCACCCTCACACCCACAGTACAGCAGCTGCCTCTGGTGCCACACCCACAGTACAGCAGCTGCCCCTGGTGCCACACCCACAGTACAGCAGCTGCCTCTGGTGCCACACCCCACCCCTCACACCCACAGTACAGCAGCTGCCTCTAGTGCCACACCCACCCTCACACCCACAGTACAGCAGCTGCCTCTGGTGCCACACCCACCCCTCACACCCACAGTACAGCAGCTGCCTCTAGTGCCACACCCACCCTCACACCCACAGTACAGCAGCTGCCTCTGGTGCCACACCCACCCTCACACCCACAGTACAGCAGCTGCCTCTGGTGCCACACCCACCCCTCACACCCACAGTACAGCAGCTGCCCCTGGTGCCACACCCACAGTACAGCAGCTGCCTCTGGTGCCACACCCACCCCTCACACCCACAGTACAGCAGCTGCCTCTAGTGCCACACCCACCCTCACACCCACAGTACAGCAGCTGCCTCTGGTGCCACACCCACCCCTCACACCCACAGTACAGCAGCTGCCTCTAGTGCCACACCCACCCTCACACCCACAGTACAGCAGCTGCCTCTGGTGCCACGCCCACCCTCACACCCACATTACAGCAGCTGCCTCTGGTGCCACACCCACCCTCACACCCACAGTACAGCAGCTGCCTCTGGTGCCACACCCACCCTCACACCCACAGTACAGCAGCTGCCTCCGGTGCCACACCCACCCCTCACACCCACAGTACAGCAGCTGCCTCTGGTGCCACACCCACCCCTCACACCCACAGTACAGCAGCTGCCTCTGGTGCCACACCCACCCCTCACACCCACAGTACAGCAGCTGCCTCTGGTGCCACACCCACCCTCACACCAAAGAGCAGTACACCTCGCCCACAAGACAGTAATACCCATAATATACCAGTAGAGGAGACGCGGCCATACTGAACAACTAGGCCAACACGGCCCCTCCACTAACACGCCTCACTGTACGGTCGGGACCATAACCTACTAACGACTACCAAACACAGCAGCTCACGTTTTCTATGCATCGGCACGTTAGGTTTGGTGGCTTGCTTGGGTTCCTACATTTCTAATTAGATTAAAAGGTTGTATTTTGTACGTTGTGGCAAAAATTAAAAGACCGGACTGGGACAGCAGCGACTGTCTAACTTTACTGATGTCATTAAATTATCAATTACATTTTTAATATACAATTGTCTCGACAATCTCTTCACTAGTCACAGAGCAGGAGAGAAAGTGCCCAGCTGCACGTGAGAGCCAACCTCTCACTCGTTGCTTCAAACTGACTCAAAACGAAGCTTTATTTCACAATATAGTGAGAACGTGTAGGTGCAACAGCTGCCCGGGCTGGTGGCAGCAACCAAGGCCCGTGTGTGTGTGTGTGTGTGTGTGTGTGTGTGTGTGTGTGTGTGTGTGTGTACTCACCTATATGTACTCACCTATATGTGCTTGCAGGATCGAGCATTGACTCTTGGATCCCGCCTTTCGAGCATCGGTTGTTTACAGCAATGACTCCTGTCCCATTTCCCTATCATACCTGGTTTTAAAATTATGAATAGTATTTGCTTCCACAACCTATTCCTGAAGTGCATTCCATTTCCCCACTACTCTCACGCTAAAAGAAAACTTCCTTACATCTCTGTGACTCATCTGAGTTTCAAGCTTCCATCCATGTCCTCTCGTTCTGTTACTATTCCGTGTGAACATTTCGTCTATGTCCACTCTGTCAATTCCTCTGAGTATCTTATACGTTCCTATCATGTCCCCCCTCTCCTTCTTCTTTCTAGTGTCGTAAGGCACAGTTCCCTCAGGCGCTCTTCATACCCCATCCCTCGTAGCTCTGGGACGAGTCTCGTTGCAAACCTCTGAACCTTTTCCAGTTTCATTATATGCTTCTTCAGATGGGGACTCCATGATGAGGCGGCATACTCTAAGACTGGCCTTACGTAGGCAGTGTAAAGCGCCCTAAATGCCTCCTTACTTAGGTTTCTGAATGATGTTCTAACTTTTGCCAGTGTAGAGTACGCTGCTGTCGTTATCCTATTAATATGTGCCTCAGGAGATAGATTAGGTGTTACGTCCACCCCCAGGTCTCTTTCACGCGTCGTTACAGGTAGGCTGTTCCCCTTCATTGTGTACTGTCCCTTTGGTCTCCTATCTCCTAGTCCCATTTCCATAACTTTACATTTGCTCGTGTTGAATTCTAGTAGCCATTTCTCTGACCATCTCTGCAATCTGTTCAGGTCCTCTTGGAGGATCCTGCAATCCTCATCTGTCACAACTCTTCTCATCAACTTTGCATCATCCGCAAACATCGACATGTAGGACTCTACGCCTGTAAACATGTCGTTAACATATACAAGAAATAGAATTGGTCCCAGCACCGATCCTTGTGGTACTCCACTTGTTACTGTTCGCCAGTCCGACTTCTCGCCCCTTACCGTAACTCTTTGGCTCCTTCCTGTTAGGTAGTTCCTTATCCATTCTAGGACCTTTCCCCCACCCCCGCCTGCCTCTCGAGCTTGAACAGCAGTCTCATGTGCGGTACTGTATCAAAGGCTTTTTGGCAGTCCAGAAATATGCAGTCTGCCCAACCATCTCTGTCCTGTCTTATCCTCGTTATTTTATCATAGAATTCCAGAAGGTTTGTTAGGCACGATTTCCCTGTCCAGAACCCATGTTTTGTGTGTGTGTGTGTGTGTGTGTGTGTGTGTGTGTGTGTGTGTGTGTGTGTGTGTGTGTGTGTGTGTGTGTGTGTGTGTGTGTGTGTGTGTGTGTGTGTGTGTGTGTGTGTGTGTGTGTGTGGTGTGTGTGTGTGTGTGTGTGTGTGTGTGTGTGTGTGTGTGTGTGGTGTGTGTGGTGTGTGTGTGTGTGTGTGTGTGTGTGTGTGTGTGTGTGTGTGTGTGTGTGTGTGTGTGTGTGTGTGTGTGTGTGTGTGTGTGTGTGTGTGTGTGTGTGTGTGTGTGTGTGTGTGTGTGTGTGTGTGTGTGTGTGTGTGTGTGTGTGTGTGTGTGTGTGTGTGTGTGTGTGTGTGTGTGTGTGTAGGTGAGTTTCTCATCTGATCATTGCCAACTTCGTTAAAATGTAAAGATGAACTCCGTTACTTTGCAGACGAGGAGTCACAATAACGTGGCTCAAATATGTTGACCAGATTACACACACTAGAAAGTGAAGAGACGAAGATGTTTCGATCCGTCCTGGACCATTCTCAAGTCGATTACGTTACTTTATAAGATTGACTATTTAGCGTCATCGTAAACTCTTGCTAAGTCAATACAGTGCTAGGTTGAGGTATATATATAGTTAACACTCTACGGCGTCAAATACATTACCACTAACAAGTAACACTGTATTAGGTATTACCAACCAATCTTTAGTGTCCACAGGAACCTATGGACTATTACATTACTGATCTAGTAACTTCACGATGTCGGGTAGAGCAGACATAGCGAGCAGACGCATAGCAGAGCAGAGTAGACGCTGCTAATGTCACTTTACCCCACCAGGATCTGTGCCTCTTTAAGTGTATTGCTTCAAAGCCAAGTACAGAATTAGGAATTGAATTTGACTTCCACACATTAATAAACGCTTTCAAACATATTATCAGACATTAGAGAAAAGTGTTCGCCTTCCGCGTACAATGACAAGTTAATCTTCACGACGCCTTCAGTTGTGTCAATTTCATCCTCATCGATCTTAATTTGCACTTGATCTTAATATATTAAGAACTTCTTGAGACACCATCGCGAACACTTAAGTGTAGGAGATGATGCTTCAACAGTAAGGATGTCAAGGAGGCAAGTAGCCTGGTATTCTAGGCTGAGAGTACTGAGTATACACTGAGTGGACACCTTGTGCTGTGTGTAAACCCCCACCTCAGCGACACCCAGCCGCCCACTACCTCAGGGACACCCAGCCGCCCACTACCTCAGGGACACCCAGCCACCCACTACCTCAGGACACCCAGCCGCCCACTACCTCAGGGACACCCAGCCGCCCACTACCTCAGGGACACCCAGCCGCCCACTACCTCAGGGACACCCAGCCGCCCACTACCTCAGGGACACCCAGCCGCCCACTACCTCAGGGACACCCAGCCGCCCACTACCTCAGGGACACCCAGCCGCCCACTACCTCAGGGACACCCAGCCGCCCACTACCTCAGGGACACCCAGCCGCCCACTACCTCAGGGACACCCAGCCGCCCACTACCTCAGGGACACCCAGCCGCCCACTACCTCAGGGACACCCAGCCGCCCAGTACTGGAGGGACACACAGTACTTCGCTGCCTGGGGCCAGATTCACGAAGCAGTTACGCCAGTACTTACGAACGTGTAGATCTTTCTTCAATCTTTGACGGCTTTGGTTACATTCATTAACCAGTTTACAAGCATGAAAACTTCCCAATCAACTCTTGTTATTATTATAAACAGCCTCCTTGTGCTTTGCAGCTCATTAACTGTTTAATAATTGTAAACAAAGCCGCCAAAGATTGAGAAAAGATGGACAGGTTCGTAAGTGCTTGCGTAACTGCTTCGTGAATCTGGCCCCTGAGGTACTTCCCGCACCTTAACTACGTCCAAGACTCTCAAGCATTTCAATTTCAAGAGCTTTAGCGAACAGTAATCACTCAGTAATTCCAGCGTCATCATGTCAAGTGGACACCTTTCCGTGCATGGCAAGTGCTTCCTTAACCAGGCCCCAGCGGGACATTCCCGGCCAATATTTCACAGTTGTGAGGTCACTACAAGCACCGTGAGCCAGGTGAGTGTTTACCGGCAGCAACACTGTAGGGTGGAGGGCGGCAACACTTGGGTCTAGGGTGTTGCGGTACACAGGGCGGGCAGGGCACGAGGCAGCCAGGCCCGGGGCCAGTCGATGGTAGCTGCTGCACTTGGCACCACACACTGACTGACTGACACCACCCTGTGGCCCACTCTGTTACGGCCCTCAGCCCCCCCCCGGCCCCCTGCCCCCCCATCCCTTTTGCCCCTACCCTCACCCCTCACCATACAACCCTCTCATACACCTCCCCCCCCACATACTCATACACCAGCCACTATGCAGGGAGATGAATACTTCAATGTGTCATCCTTACAAAATTCGTGGTCACACATTATTAATTATATATATATATATATATATATATATATATATATATATATATATATATATATATATATATATATATATATAGTTAGTTTCGGACAATATACCGATAGCTATGAGACTGAGAACACCATCAACCTTCCTACCTCCCTCCCTAGGGGGGGGGCCTGTGGCTGAGTGGACAGCGCTTGGCACTCGTAATCCTATAGTTCGGGGTTCGATCCCCGGCAACAGAGCAAACAAATGGGCAGTTTCTTTCACCCTGATGCCCCTGTTACCTAGCAGTAAATAGGTACCTTTGAGTTAGACAGCTGTTACGGGCTGCTTCCCTATGTCAAAAAAAAAAATGGATTGACAGTTGAGGCGGGCCGAAAGAGCCAGAGCTCAACCCCCGCAAGCACAACTAGGTGAATACAGTCACTGTTTAATCACTCCACGCATCATCCACTCAAACATAACCACCACACACACATTCGTGTCTCATCCATCCACCTGTTACTCATCCACCCACCTGTTACTCATCCACCCACCTGCTACTCATCCACCCACCTGTTACTCATCCACCCACCTGCTACTCATCCACCCACCTGCTACTCATCCACCCACCTGCTACTCATCCACCCACCTGCTACTCATCCACCCACAGCCACTGAGGAAGGTACTGCTGCTGCCCCTTCACATGTGGCCTGCAGCTGCCGCCTCGGTCGCCACACACATCTTCCTGGCCGAGGGGAAGGAGGAAGGGGAGATGCTTCCCCCGCCAGCGGTGGTGAGGCGCGTCCCGGGCTGGACCCCCCCCCCCCTTCCAGGCCTCCACACCCACCCACGCTCTCAGCCCACCTGTGTGTGTACACACCCACCTGTGTGTGTACACACCCACCTGTGTGTGTACACACCCACCTGTGTGTGTACACACCCACCTAGCTGTGTTGCAGGCGATAGAGCTTCTCTCCTCTACTTCACAGCCTCCTAGTTCTTACAAATGTTCAGGTTATGCGGATAACTTCCTCACTACCGCCACACTGTAGACCCTCCTTTCACTCTTGCCATATGCAGCAACCCCCCCCCCCCCTCTCACCGTCATTCACTATTCTTCTCGAAAGCGCCCCCCCCCTCCTCCTCTTCACTGGTGGCCGGGACAAATTTGAAGCAATCCGCGTGGCCATCTATGAATGAATATGCAAAGTTCTGCCTTGATTAACTGTGCAGGGCAGACCACTCTCCCTGTGAAGGTGTTACCGAGCACGGCAGACAGCGCGCCTGGTCGCCCACAGTATCTACAAGAGTATCACAGTAGCCACTACAAATATGGAGTATCTAAGCAACAGGAAACAGCGAGTAACTGTGAAGGGAAGAGACATCAGAGTGGCCAGATGTCACCAATGGAGTCCCACAGGGCTCTGTACTTGGACCCATCCTGTTTCTAATATATGTAAACAATCTTCCAGAGGGTAGACTCATTCCTCTCAATGTTTGCTGATGATGCAAAAAATTATGAGAAGAATCAAGACGGATGAAGATACACAAACTACAGGATGACCTGGATGAACTGGAGGAATGATCTAGAAAATGGCTGCTAAAGTTCAACTCAGGAAAGTGTAAAGTAATGAAATTAGGCGAAGGGAGCAGAAAGCTGAATACAAGGTACCATCTCGGAGGTGAAATCCTGCAAGAGTCAAATAGAGAGAGAGATCAGGGGGTTGATATCACACCGAACCTGTCTCCAGAGGCGGCATATGATAGATTGGCCAACATAAGAACTGCCTTTCAAAACTTGTGTAAGGAAACGTTCAAGACCTTCTATACCACCTGTGAGAGACCAATCCTGGAATATGTAGCTCCAGCCTGGAGTCCATACCTAGTTAAACACTACAAAGTTAGAGAAGATTCAGAGGTATGCCACGAGACTCGTCCCGGAACTGATAAGTACAAGCTACGAGAAAAGGTTAAGGGAGCTAAACCTCACGTCCCTGGAAAACAGAAGAGTAAGAGGAGACATGATAACTACCTACAACATTCTTGGGGGAATTGACAGGGTGGACAAAGACAAACTCTTTAGCACTGGTGGGACACTAAGGGGACACAGGTGGAAACTTAGCTAAATGAGCCACAGAGACATTACAAAGAATTTGTTCAGTGTCAGTGTAGTTAACAAATGGAATGCATT